GCAAACACACAGCCCCCAATGCCCCGTGTGGTCCCTCAGGTGCAGGCCATTCCAGGTCATTCCCTGAGCTCCTCAGCACTGGGGAGGCTCTGGCAGGTGGAGGATGAGATGACGGTGCGTGCTGGGGACCAATGGCTCTGTGTCCCATCTACCAGTCTGTGGAGCCAGGTCTCAGTTTATTGGCTCTTGACTGTAAATTCTGGCTATGAGGCAGCACCATAGTCTGAGGCCCCGTTCCCAGGGAACCTGTGACCGGGTGTGGGGGAGACAGGAGTGATGTGGAAGACACCAGGAAAGTGTCTTTTGAGCAGGTGATATCACACGAGTTTGCATATGCTCCCTCAGTCTACTGACGACAGAAAAGTAAGCCGGCTATCACTATTTGAAAGAAAGACTCTTTTAAGCAACTGGTATTACAATAAAGTATGATGTGCAAGTTTGAATAAGCTAAAATCCACATTAAATGTGGAGCCTAATGTCCATATTGGCAAATCGCTAGTGAAGAAACAAACAGAAACTTGAAAAAAAAAACTTTATTAGTGTATATTCTTTGTAGAAAGGGTTTTAGTGTATATTCATTGTAGATTTTCATACATGCATGTATTGTACTTTGATCAAATTATAAACCCCTCTATTTTTTCTTTTCCCCTTCCTCATTTTATAAAGTTTTTAGTGGTTCCATTATACTAGCTTCGTACACAGACACAATGTATCTTTTTTTTTTTTTTTTGCAGTACTGAGGCTTGAACTCAGGGCCTTTACCTTGATCCTCCTAATCTCTTCCTCCTGAGTTGCTAGGATCCCAGGCGTGAGCCACCAGCTCCCAGTGACACAATGTATCTTGGTATCATTCACCTGCATCACTCTCTTTCCCGCTCCCACTTCTCACTCGCTCCCCCCCCACAGTGCCACAATTAGAATCATTTATATGTGTTCATATAAATATATGTAACATTTTTTGTACTAAATTCCGCATATGAGAGAAAACATGCAGTATTTGGTTTTCTGAGCCTGGCTTACTCTGATTAAGTTATAGGACTGGAGTTGTGGCTTGAGTGCTACAGCATCTGCCTGGCAAGTGCAAAGTCCTGAGGTTGAACCCCAGAACCACCAAAACCAAAAAAACCTGATATTCTAAGGCATGCTCTTGCGTTCTTGTGAAATGACTCCCAACGGCAGTGGGAAGGAAGCCTCTTCCCATCTCTCATCCAGCTGTGAGCTGGACTGCTCACTGTCACCATCCAGCTGTGACACCTGCAGACCTGCTGCTCGGGAGATGCTCCGTGAGCCTCACCTAGGAGGATGGTCCTCTGATGCCTTGGTCAGGCAGGAGCTCAGTCATTGCACAGCGATGAGGGTGGCACCCTGTGGGGCCTCCAGAGCACCGTGGAGCAACTCTGGTTCCAAAGCCAGGCACAAAGCCTTTTGGAAGATCCTGGCTTCCAGAAGTTCACAGGAATTTGACATAAATGGTCTCAGCAGAGTTGCTGATTTCTCAGAACTTTTTTTTTTTTTTGACCATACTGTTCTCTTTATTGTTCTGTATGTTTGAAATCTTATATGACAGCCACTGTTCCCCACGCTGGGGAAGCAGAGCTCAGAAGTGCAGCCCTGGCCTCAGTGGAGGACAGCTGGGTTGCATGGTCATCAAAGACCTTGTAACATGTCTGACATTTATGTATCCAGCACCAACTTCACTGGGGTATGGTGGACAGCCTTGCTGGCTTAGGGATGGCTGAGAGAGGCCCTGCTGGGGATTCACAGTGTGACTGCAGCTGAGCCATGCTCAGACTACTGAGTAGGGGTCCTGACACCCATGCTGAGGGACACATGGGGACAGTGAGCACATTCAGTGGGACATGGAAAACCACACCTCTGCCAGAAGTATCCCTCAAAAAGACATTTAATAATGCATGTGTTGGGAGGAAAGGCAACAGAGCTAAGAACACAGCGATCGACTTTCCCAGGTGATGGGGTTTTGCCTTTCCTGGGTGAGTGGGTAAGAGCCAGTCCATCCCAGGGACCCAGATGACTTCCTTCTCGGAAGGAAAGGGCACCTGCTATTGAGATAGGACGGCCCACAGCCTCAGACCACACCTACTTCAGCACAGAGACTTGTTAGGTGAAGTTACAATAAGATACATGCTGCACGTTCTCTCAGCCTTTACACGGTGTCTTCCGGATTTTAAAGGACAGAATTCCAAATCTAGCTTTCAGCATCTGTTGAGGGCTGAGGCTGTGACTGGACAAGAAGACACTCAGGCTTCTCTGCCTGTGCATTCCAGTGACATCGGCCAGAGAACCAGGTACTTCTGAGACCCCAGGGTGAAAGAAAAAAAGAACTAGATTGGTTTTCTAAGGTCTTCTATATTTTACAGAAGCAGTGCTAGGGTAAGGGACCAGGCACCCAGCTTTGATTTTGTTTCAGACATTAAGGTTCCTGTGTAGTCTGTGTGCAACGGGCAGTATGTCCTAATTCTCTTGCCCTTGGGTGACTAAGCTAAGAGGAAAAGGCACCTGAAGCCATCTCCTCTGCACAGGTTTTGTCCTCATCTCATCATGAGGCAGTGACGCCTTGGAGTGGGAGGCCATCTGGTGGGTGTGTCCCGTGTTGGGTCAGCATCCTCTGTGACCCACACATCCTAGGACCAGGGATGCAGCTTATTCTAACCTTCCCAACATCATTCCCCAAGGATCCTACACCAGTGTCCTGCACACAGCATGGGTGCCACATGTCACCCGTGAGGGACCCAGCAGGAAGGGAATTGAACGTCTCACATTTCCAACTTGAAGACTTTCACTTCTGAGAGGAATGAGCAAGTCTTCTCGGTGGACAAAGTGGCAGGAAGGCAGGCCAGGCAGATGTGCCTGGTTCGTCCTGAGCACTTATGGGGACCATGATGTGTGGTAAGCAGAGCGTCAGAAGGTGAGGACCACTTTAGCTCATTGAGAGGACAGCACACATTCTACAGAGCAATGAGCTTGGGGCATGTTAGCATTATGGATGTTTTTCTCACCAAAATTCTTTTTTGGGGACTGTGGCGTTGAGGTGAACTCAGAGCCTCATGTTTGTCGGGTGAGCATCCTACCACTTGAGCCACAAGTGGCCATCTCTTTTTCCTTTATTTTTCAGGTAGGGTCTCCTCTTTTTTCTTTTTTTGCCCAGGGTCTCAGACCTTAATCCTCCTCCCTATAGCCTGGGGTCACAGGCTTACACTACCACACCCACCTTCTTGGTTGAGATGGGGTCTTGTTAAATCCTTTTTAGCAAGCCTGGAACCTCGATCTTCCTGACCTCCTTTCTAGTAGCTGAGGTCACAGGTGAGCACCATCATACCCATTTCCTTTGGGAAACAGTGCAACTTAGCTCCCCTTTACTCAGGTGTCCTCCAGCAGGTTCCCAGTTCCACTGAAGCGCCACCTTTTAAGGAAGATACTTTGTTGTGTCCTTTGCAGGGCACTTGCTCCCCTTTCTTCAGGTGCTTTGCTTTGGCTTCTCCCCCTCCCCCGCATTTAGGCTGTTTGGATCATTGCTTCTCTGAGGTTTGTCAACTCAATTCCAAGAATGAGCAAATAGGTGTAAAATGTGGAGGCCTGCAGTTTATCTGTCCAGGCAGATTTCAGAGGAGCGTCCTAGCGCCTTTCAACAAAGATGTGTTGTAACTGAATGAGAAACAGTTGCGCTGAAAAGACTGAAAGAGGACCAAATCAGACATATATAGCCCAGCTGTACTTTCTTACTAACAAAAAGGAGGTGGCTTTTAATTTGTATTTTATTTATTGGTGGTACTGGGGTTTGAATTTTTTTTTTTTTTTTGCTCTGGTTATTTCAGAGACACCCTCTTGCTTTTTGCCCAGGCAGTCCTGGTAGATGATTCTCCTATTTTGGCTTCTTGCCATCATGGGAATGACAGGCATATACCACCACACCCAGCTTTTTTTCCATTGAGATGAGGTCTTTAGAACCTTTGGTCCCGTCTAGCTTTGAACCTTGACACTTTTATAGAACTCACAGCATCATTGGGTTCAATCTAACATATTTAAAACCATGTTTGGGTAAACTGGGCTTCCTAGTCCTTCAAATCAGGAGAGGAAGTGAAAAGGATGCTTTTGTTTTTCCTAAAGAATTCTGCATATCCTGTTCACCAACTCTCAGTGGAAATTTATGGTGCTGGAGACCACCAGAACCCAGTGTGTAATAGGAAACCGGGGGAGTGGCGCAGAGGACCCTAGTAACCTGGACTGATCGTGCTCACCGATGAAATTCGTCTTCCCTCTCTTTTTCCATAAACAGGAGCGCGAAGCCTATGGGGAAAGAAAATGGAAACAGCTGACATTGGACAAAGGAAGCGAGAGAGGCAGCAGGTCCTGACGACAAACGAGGAAGGCCGCCGATGTGCACAGGAACTGCGTTTCCTGACACCCGCCTGACAAGTGGAATGTGACTCCCCAAGTGACCGGTGTGGATGCAGACCTGCGGTGCTGCGAGGCCACCGCACAGGCACATACCCTCCAGCTGACCTTTGGGTTTAATTACAAGAAAATGGAGTCGAACTCAGGGTTCTAGAGTTTGGGCCACAGTCCTCGGGGATTTGTTTGTCCTTGGGGCGGCAGGGATGTGACGCGAAGCGATAAGGTGGGTACACACTGACTGAAGTGCATGCCTTGGCGCGCCAGGCACCAGTTCCGCAGAGAAGGCGCCCCCACAAGCCAGCGCTGCAGCCCAGGACTGTCCCCTGGCGGACTGAAGCAGTGGGCGCTGGCCAATGCTGGATCAGTGAGAGCCGGGCAGCCCTCCTCGCGGGAGAGGAGTGGGAAGGGCGAGAAGGGTGCGGCGTGAGCAGCGAAGAAAAAAAAAGTGGGGACATGAGTGAAATCTGATCGCGTGCCAGGAAAAGGGTGTGAACTAGCGACCCCAGGGCAACGCTCAGCGGTGAGCAGGCTTGAGGGGCCGCTGAGCGGGCAGTGGGCGTGCGGGTGGCGCAGGACACAGCCCGCCCATGGAGAACTCGGTGGCCCCCTGCGTCCTCTACCCGGGAGATGACCGCGTCCGCGGGGCCCACGGAGCGCGCAGCCAGGCCGGGACGCCCGGAGAGGACAGCCTGCCGCTGCCGGCCGCGGGGGAGGACGCTGCGTCCCCAGCGCAGACACCCTGCAGTCTCCGCGCGTCGCTGTGCTTCCGCTCCGGGGACGACTCCCCGCCGCAGTCGCGCGCCGCCGCCGCCGAGGGCGCCGCCGCCTCCACGACCTCCAGCCGCAGCGGCCGGCGCGTGGTGGAGACGCAGTGGGAGGTGAGCAGCGCGGGCGCCGCGTCCCCGGAGGAGCTCACGTCCCCGGAAGAGTCCGTGTCCCCCGAGGAGCGCGCGCGCCCGGAAGAGCTCGCGTCGCCACCGGAGCCCGAGTCCCCGGAAGAGCCCGCGTCCTTGGACGAGCTCGGGGAGCTCGTGCCTGTGTCCCCCGGGGTGGGGCCCGCGCACGGGGAGCCCGACCTGGTCATCGAGGTGGCCGGCCGCCGGCTGCGGGCGCACAAGGCGGTGCTGGCGGCGCGCAGCGACTACTTCCGCGCGCGCGCCTCCCGGGACGTGCTGCGGGTGCAGGGCGTGAGCTTCGCGGCGCTGCGCCTGCTGCTGGCCGACGCGTACAGCGGTCGCATGGCGGGCGTGCGGCCCGACAACGTGGCCGAGGTGGTGGCCGGCGCGCGCCGCCTGCAGCTGCCCGGTGCCGCGCAGCGCGCCACCGACGCCGTGGCGCCGCAGCTGAGCCTGGCCAACTGCTACGAGGTGCTGAGCGCGGCCAAGCGGCAGCGGCTGGCGGAGCTGCGCGACGCCGCCTACCGCTTCATGAGCGACCACTACCTGGAGGTGCTGCGCGAGCCCGCCGTGTTCGGGCGCCTGTCGGGGGCCGAGCGCGACCTGCTGCTGCGCCGCCGCCTGCGCTCCGGCCGCGCCTGCCTGCTGGCCGCCGCGCTCGGGCCGGCCGGGGAGCGCGCGGGGAGCCGCCCGCAGAGCCCGTCGGGGGACGCGGAGGCGCGCGGCGACGCGGCCGTCTACTGCTTCCGCGCGGGGCCCGGCGAGTGGCGCGAGCTGACGCGGCTGCCCGAGGGCGCCCCGGCGCGCGGCTGCGGCCTCTGCGTGCTCTACAACTACCTCTTCGTAGCCGGCGGCGTGGCGCCCGCGGGCCCCGATGGCCGCGCGCGACCGTCCGACCAGGTCTTCTGCTACAACCCGGCTACCGATCGCTGGAGCACCGTGCGGCCGCTGCGCCAGGCGCGCTCGCAGCTGCAGCTGCTGGCCCTGGACGGCCACCTGTACGCCGTGGGCGGCGAGTGCCTGCTCAGCGTGGAGCGCTACGACCCGCGTGCCGACCGCTGGGCCCCCGTGGCCCCGCTGCCCCGGGGCGCCTTTGCCGTGGCCCACGAGGCCACCACCTGCAACGGCGAGATCTACGTATCCGGGGGCTCGCTCTTCTATCGCCTGCTCAAGTACGACCCCCGGCGCGACGAGTGGCAGGAGTGCCCGTGCAGCAGCAGCCGCGAGCGCTCCGCCGACATGGTGGCCCTCGACGGCTTCATCTACCGCTTCGACCTATGCGGGAGCCGTGGCGGCGACACGCAGGCCGCGGCCGGGCCGGGCGGCGGGGTCAGCGTCTTTCGCTACCACTGCCTGGCCAAGCAGTGGAGCCAGTGCGCGGCGCACCTGCGCCCCCCGGGCGCCCCCGCTGGCCTGCAGCCCTTCCGCTGCGCAGCCCTGGACGGCACCATCTACTGCGTGAGCCGTGCGGGCACCTGGCGCTTCGTGCCCTCTCAGGACGGCGAGCCCAGCGGCGACACGGGGACCGGTGGCACTTTCGAGCCGGAGTCACTTGGAGCCCCCCTGGACGCCGGGGTGTGCTTTTCCCGTTTGTGCTCAACCTGCCTGAGAAGTCGGACCGGGGGGAGCAGGGTGCAGCCTAGGGCAGGTGGGGGTGAACTGGGCATCTCCTTTGGGAGGCCGTGGGACCAAAGGCACGGTCCCCGTGGGCTGGGGTCCTCAGTGGGAAGGGGAGGGCGAGGAACGAGGGAGAGTGGTGGGGTGAGCTGGTGGCCACGCTGCACCTTGTACAGGCTTTGAGGGTAGAAGCTTCGCACGCCCTGATGACATTTTTGCAACGCTGTCTTAAGAGCTGCTTTTCCTTTCAGGATTCCTTTTTGCTTCACTTTGCTCAGTGGGCTCCACGGCATAACACGTATGCAAATAGCCTAGCAGGTCAGCTGCAGGATACCTGAGGGAGGAAGGGGTGGAGTCAACAGTTGGAGCTGCAGGGTGCAGGGGTGGGCCCAGGAGTCAGCAGGGTGCAGGGGTGGGCCCAGGAGTCAGCAGGGTGCACGCAGGTGTAGCTGGTGCCTGGGGTGTGCCCTGGGCTGCTGAGCGGAGAGGAGGGGCCAGACTTGCCTCTGCAGAGTTCCGTCCTTACCAGGTGGCCTAGAAGGCCACAGAGCCAGAGTGGGCCCAGAAGTAGGCCTAGGCTAGTGCAACTTGGGGACTTCACTTCTTTCTTTCTTTCTTTCTTTCTTTTTTTTTTTGGCACTCAAGGCCTCACGCTTGCTAGGCAGGCACTGTTACCATTCTGCCAGCCCTTTGTGATTTTTTAATTTTGAGATAGGGTCTCCAGAACTATTTGCCAGGGGCTGGCTTTGAAACTTTTTTTTTTTGATTGAGGTAAAATTGTAACTGATAAGTAAAGACCTTTGTGATCTATTCAAAAAGTTTATGCTACTATGTGCCCAAATTTTGGTAGGCTCAACTCCAAAAAAGAGTAGTTTACCAAACATTACAGGTAAATCTCTGATACCAACATGGTTTTAGTTCCTCAGTCACGGGAAGTATTTCCTGTGCCAAGCCATAGACATATGCCTCCAGCCGTGCCATCCACACTTTGCCAGGCCAGCTCTACCATCCACATCCTGAGGTCGACTGTGTTCTTCAGGGAGAAGGTGCTGGTAACCACAGCTATGACTTACCACCATTTGAATTTTAATAAGCTCACTGATCAGGAAAAGCCCACCAGCAAGGACTTTTGTATGATTTAGAGCTGCAGCACTGGGTGCTGTGTGTCCATCCTAAACAGGACTGTTGTTCCTGTAAACAGAAAGATAAAATCAAGTTTTGACAGTTCTAAAAACAAATGATGAAGGCACATTTTGAAGCCACTGTTTGATCATGTTTTAACTATGTGTTGAAACATACTTCAGAAGAGCGCATGCAGTTTTACAGTCATTCTAGGGAAACACGGCAGGGTGACATGCGTATTAAGGACACAAAAGGAAATAACATGTATCTTGGATGTAGTTAGGCAAGTGTCATTTGTCCAGCTTTGAGTTCCAAAGTACACTAACAGAATTGACTTGAGACTTGCTACTTTGACAAAGTGCAAGGGTCGAAAACGAATCAGTTGATTTTCCTTATTTCTTAGGGCATTTATTTCTCAAATATGTAGGGACAGGACTTTCTGTTTATTAAGAGTACGAGGACAAAATACACAGCTCACAAACACCGGCAGACGGATTTGGATTCTCAGTGCAGTCCGTCCTCGTACACACTGAAAGGCTGGAGCGCAATTAAATGGAGTCCTTCTTACCCTAACAGGATTGGCTTGCTAACCCAGCGGTGGGAATTGCTGCCTCTGTAGGAATCAGTAGGGATTGGGAAATAGGTTATGCTTTTAGAGTCTGTGGTTAGGAAAGGCCTCAATTAAGTGTGTTTAGAAGTGATCAGCCTGAATTTTATGCATGACAAGGGGAATGGAATTCACAGTTTCAGTTAGAGTATATTCTGGGGTTTGTCTGCTTGCTCGTGATTCCTCCAAGTCAAAGACATCTTATTAGATGTGTAATCATCTTGGGATAGTCCTAAGTCTGACATACTGGCTTTTAGGAGTATGCTGGAGAAATGGCAGTAGAAGAAATGCTTATAGAAAGAGGAAACAACTTGTGTTCTTTTAAAGAAATGTTCATTCTGTAATGTGTACATTTCCTCTAGAATTTTCTTACTAATGCTAATTTTTTATATGAAATGGGTCCAGGCTAATATGTTCGTTCCTTCAGTATCAAACTCATAAAACGCTTACCACTGTGGTTTTCTTGAGAGATCATTCTGGTGGTGGTCACTGTCGAAACTGGGCACCCAGGGTGGAATCTCCCAGGAGAGCAGAGCGTTGGGTGTCAGGTGTGGGCAGCCGCACAGCACCTTGCCTGGTTGCAGTTCTGTCTTTATCACTGTTTTGTCACTCCCCTAAGAAAGCAGAGTCTGTGCCAGGTTGGTGTCTTCCTGTGAGGACTGGCAGAGACTCCTGTCACATGGCACGCAGGAAGCTGTAGAACCAGTGAAAGGAATGAACCCGAGAATTCGTTAACCGTTCATGGCTGTCTGGCCAACCTGTTTTGAAAACGTAGATAATATTAAGTGTCATATTTCCAGTTAGTGCTATCACAGGAAACAAATGCCAGAGGCCCTGACTCCTCACAAGCACCATTTTGTTTTGCTTCTGGGGACCGACCAGCCACTGGGGTGTGGAGCAAGAATGCGTATTGAGCAAACAGAAAAGCCACACGTCTAAGGTAGTAATTTGAAGGTGCTGGGGGAGGCCTATCACTGAGACTTGTCCCTAGGTGTGTGACGGCCCAAGGCAGCGTCCTTTCTTATCCAACATGGTGTTCTAAGTCGAGGTCCAACAGCCTTTAGAAAAACGGTTAGCGTGAAAATATCCCTGACCATCAGTTCAGAGTCACATGAGGCTGATGCATTTGTGACCTCCATCCATAACTCTCATGAAATTAACCCCTGCATGCTGTCATTTCCAAACCTTATAAAGAGCAGTGCCAGTTTAAGGGGAAGATGTGAAGTCCACGAAAGCTTGATCTTTGGTTAGTCGACAAAGCAACGATTTGTATTGTCCACCGAAGTTCATTTGGAACCCAAGGGACCAAGCTTAATACGGCTTTATTTTCTTTCTGTTTTGATTTTTGTCATGGGAACAGGCCCCACCTCTGATATTGCCTCTCAGTCACTTCATGAACTTGGATTTTGAGGCAAAGGAGGCACTAGTTCCTTTTCCCTTAATGAAATGAATGCTGTGGAAAGTCATTTGCTACTTAGTTAAAATTGTAAGCTGTATCACTTTTGCTACAAATGCTAAAGCAAGAAAGGAACTATGTGCTCCCTTTGTTAATTTCTGGTGCCATTTTAGTAATCTGGTAACAGCTGTGTAATCTGTTGGTGTTTTAGGAAACTTCCTGTAACATGTTGAAATTGAATGAGGTCTTTTGCTCTCTGCTGAAGTCAAGAGAGGACACAATCAGGACACATTTGTAACATCTTAGTGGCCAGTGAAGCCAGAGTGCTCTTGTGTGCTGTGTTTCGTTTTACAAGCTTCCCCAGCTTATAGAAAGTTTCATTTTGATGTTACATATCGTCTTGAAGTTTTCCCTTTCTTTTGCAATATTATCATTCATGAAAAGATAGTGACTGAACTAAAAGTGGAAGTGTGCAGGTGTTCTCCTTGTATCCAGGTTTCTTTCAGCAGTCATGCCACGCACGCCTTTTCTGTGTCCATGAGGAGGTCTGGACTGTGCGATGCTCAGGCACCTGGCAAGAGACCTGTCTCGGCAGGTGCTTTGCATGGCTTTGTGTGTTGAGTTGGATTAAGTGAAGTCTAAATGTGTTCCGATGTGAGATCCACACTCCCCAGTGCTTGGCAAAGAGCTGACTGGTACTCGCTAACTAGTCCTCACTAGTATACCTGCTGCCACCAACTAAGATGAGCTACATCCGTTTAAGGCCGGCTGCTACTGTGTGTGTAGTTGATGTATTTATAATGCTTGAGTTTTAAAATCCTAGGCATAAATATGTAAAACCTTGTACGTATGTCAATCTATGCCAAGATGAAATAAACTGTGGAAAATGCCAGTGTCCCTGAAATCCTGCTGTGCCTGCTTCTCCCTCTCCCAGTGGCAGAACCCCAGTGAGGTGTGTCCTCACGGGAACTTGAATGGAGACCCAGGGCTAGCCTCCTATCTGCGCACTGAGCCGTCCTCTCTGTGGCCCCTGAAGGTCCCTCCAGCTCAGAATCTGAAATCGCAGGCAGGTGTCTCCACGCAGCTGCCTCATGATGTGATGTGCCTGTCCTCTCTCCCTTTACCTGTCTCCTTGGTCAGCCAGGTCATGGCCCCGATTGCTAGAGAAGTCTGCTTTTCTGAGGATGTGCACACTGTGTGCAGGATGGGGAAGACAGTGTGGCCACAGGAAGAGAATGGAGTGAGGATCACCACATGCCACACAGGGCCGGGGTGGGGGACACCAGGGTGGACAAGGCAGGGGTGAGGGGAGCAAGGCCAGAGTGGGAACAGGGACCTCCCTGGGAAACAAGGTAAGGAGGAACACAGCTCAAGATCCACTGGCTTGACTAATTCCAGTGGGCTCTGGTGCTGGGTCCCGGGATCTGGGGTGATTTAGGGCATGGGAAATCCCAGCTGGTGTCTGGAAGTCAGAGAAGGGGGTGGCTGTCCCTGGACTTGGGCTGGGTGGATCTGTGTGAGGGACGTGCTGTGTGAAGGACTGGTTGACGTGGGGGCGGGGCAAGTCTCTCTCCACAGCAAACTCATGAAACAAAACACAAGACAAGTCAGTGCCCCAGTCATACCCTCCTCCTGGGGCAGATTTGGAGGGACCTGCAGCTTCTCAGGTCTCTCCTGGTGCTCCCTTCCCCTCCACCAGCACCACCTCCTCCCACTGATATCCAAAGCACCAGGGCTGGAGGGGACCTGACACTCACCACCTCCTGCCCACCCCCAGGAAGATCAGTTCCAGCAGTACAGGCTCAGCAGCCACACAGAGGAGACCCAGCCACTTGTTGGTCACCACTTGGGCAGGCTCCACAGCAGATGGGCTGTGAATGTCCCCGGATGAAGGGACTCAC